TGGGGAGCCCAGCACTGGACACAGCACTGCAGATGGGGCCTCCCCAGGGCAGAGCAGAGGGGGAGGAGAACCTCCCTCGCCCTGCTGCCCACACCTCCCCGCTGGCAGCCCCTGGGGACGGGCACACGGTGCCGTTCCTCCAGCAACCGCTGCTGTGCACAGAAACCCCCCGTCCCGGGGGAAAACCCCGCTGGGCTCGGGCTGGGCTGAGTCCTGCACGTGGAAGTGGGATACCCACCAGGCTTTGAAATTGCTAAATCCCCCCCGGTGCTGTTTAACCCAGGTCCATACACCCAGCCCCGACCCAGCCCTGGAGCAGGACTCCCTTGGGGGACATCGGTGCAGACCCCGAGGTCGCTCCCAGTCTGGGGACTCTCTGTGTGACCGTCCTCTTCCAGGGCTGTGTCCCAGGTTTATTCAGGCTGATAAATCCTTGGCCAACCCAATGCATTTTGATTCTGGAGCTCCCAGCACGAGGCTGGGCTCCGTATCGCGCCTGCAGAAGGGATCTGGGGTGCACAAGCAAATTTTTGCAGGTCAGCAGCATGCGGGACCGTCCCTCCTTCCCATGGCTCCGGGGACGGGGACGCTGGTGGCTGCAGTGCCCCAGAACTGCCACCCTCCCGTCCTCCCTTGGCTGGGATTTATTCCCTCTTGCGAAAAACCTTCATGAGAATTTGTAAAATGCGGAGGAAAACGGTAAAAGCAGTGGCCAGCGTCCCTGGCAGAGCATCGCCGAGGGGGACCTGCACCCATGGGTGCATCCTATGGCTACGAGGATGAGGAGGGGGCTGGAGCATCTCTCCTCCGAGGAGAGGCTGAGGGAGCTGGGCTTGTTCAGCCTGGAGAAGAGAAGGCTGAGAGGGGACCTTCGAAATGCCTCTAAATATCTGCAGGGTGGGGGTCAGGAGGACGGGGCCAGGCTCTGCCCAGTGGTGCCCAGCGACAGGACAAGGGGCAACGGGCACAAACTGAAGCAGAGGAAGCTCCAGCTGAAGCCGAGGAAGAACTTCTTCCCTCTGAGGGTGCCGGAGCCCTGGCCCAGGCTGCCCAGGGAGGCTGTGGAGTCTCCTTCTCTGGAGATATTCCAGCCCCTCCTGGCCGCGGTGCTGTGCCCCCTGCTCTGGGTGACCCTGCTTGGGCAGGGGGTTGGGCTGGGTGACCCACAGAGGGCCCTGCCCACCCCAACCATGCTGGGATTCTGTGATTCTGTGATCCCCTTTACCCGTGGGTGCAGGTTGGGAGTCGGGGTGATGGCTCCCCGCTCCCCGGGGTGCCTGGGACGCCCCACTCCAAGCTCACACTCCCTGCCTGGAGGAGAAGCTCCAGTTTCACCCACAGCTCCATCCACCCTCTCCTTCCCCACGTGTGGCCGAGCCGTGGGGCGAAAGACGTGGCTGTGCCCTGGTGCTCCGGGGACAGCCAGCTCCAGCGGCGAGGGCCCAGGCACGTCGCTTCGCTGCTCGCTGTCCCCAGGAGAGGGGAGCGCTCAGACCGTCGGGCACGCACCCTGCGCTTGCACCGCGTGTTTGCGTCGCACATTTGCACCCTGTATTTGCACTCTCTGTTCCCACCCTGTGTTTGAGCTGGGCATTTGCACCCTGCATTTGCTTGATGTGTGTTGCAACGTGCATTTATTTGCACTCTGCATTTAAACTGTGCGTTTGCATCATGCATTTAGACCCTGCATTTCTACCCTGCATTTGCACCATGCGCTTGCCCTGGGCGTTTAAACAGCACATTTGCACCATATTTTTGCACTGTGTATTTAGACTGGGCATTTGCACCGTGTATTTGCACTCTGCATTTCCACTGTGGAATTAAACTGGGCATTTAGACCCTGCATTTGCTCCCTGCGTTTACTTGATGTGTGTTGCACTCTGCATTCGCACCCTATGTTTGCACTCTGCCTTTCCACCCTGCATTTAAACTGGACATTTGCACCCTGGACGTTGCACCCTGATGTGTGTTTGCATCGTGCATTTAAAATAGGCGTTTGCACCCTGCCTTCGCTGGAGGTGTTTGCCCTGGGCGTTTAAACAGCGTGTTTGCACCCTTCGTTTGCACCAGGCATTTGGAGTGGGCACTTGCATCGTGGATTTGGACTGGGCATGCACACCGTGTATTTGCATTCTGCATTTGCACCCTGCATTTAGACCGTGTATTTGCACTCTGCATTTGCACCATGGATTTAAGCTGGGCATTTGCACCCTGCATTTGCTTGATGTGTGTTGCATCCTGCATTTGCAATGTGCATTTGCATCGTGCGTTTAGACCCTGCGTGTGCACCCTGCCTTCACTCGAGGTGTTTGCCTTTCCCCCAGGTATTTGCACTGTGCATTTGCACCCTGTATTTGCACTCTGCATTCCCTCCGTGCATTTAAACTGGGCATTTGCACCCTGCATTTGCTTGATGTGTGTTGCTCTCTGCATTTCCACCCTGCATTTAGACTGTGCATTTGCACCCTGCATTTGCCCTGTGCATTTAAACAGCACGTGTGCACCCTTCATTTGCTCCAGGCATTTGCATCGTGTATTTACACTCTGCATTTCCACCCTGCATTTAACCTGGGCATTTGCACCCTGCATTTACTTGGCCCATGTTGCACCGTGCATTTAAACTGTGCCTGCTGTAGGTGACCCTGCTTCGGCAGGAGGGATGGACTAGATGACCCACAGAGGTCCTTTCCAACCCCTACCATGCTGTGATTCTGTGATTCTGTTTGCACCGTGCGTTTAGACCCTGCATTTGCTCCTTGCATTTATTTGTTGTGTTTGCCCTGTGCATTTAAACAGCGTGTTTGCACCATGCATTTGCAGCGTGCATTTAAACTGGGCATTTGCACCCTGCGTTTGCTTGGCCTGTGTTGCACCGTGCTTTTAAACTGTGTGTTTGTATCATGTGTTTACACCCTGCATTTGCTCCCTGCATTGACCTGATGTGTTGCACTGTGCATTCACACCGTGTGTTTGCTCTCTGCATTCCCTCCATGCATTTAAACTGGACATATGCACCCTGCATTTGCACCTGTGTGTTGCATCGTGCGTTT